TGGGGTGGGCGTTGGGGTGTGCGTTGGGGTGGGCTTTGGTGGGGGGCCTGGTCTCTGGCGTGGGTGGAGACGCACCGTGGGCCGGCCCAGCAGCGGCACGCGTTCCACCTCTGCGCGGTCCTCCTGCGGCGGCTGGTGGAAGCTCCCCTCGTCGTTGAGGCGCAGGCCCTTGCGCGACGGCCGCACCGCCACCCCGGGCCCGGGCGCCGCCGCCCCCGCCCCCTCCCAGTCGTCCGACCGCCGCCGGTGGTCGTCCCCGCTGTCGTCGCAGTAGTCGATGTCGATGCGCTCCTTGATGACGACGCTGCCGTTGGTGCCCACCACTGCCGTCGGGTGGTGACAGTGCAGCTGGGGAAACGAGTGTTATGAGTACCCTGCGGATTTACGTCATTTTGTAAATTTTTGTCTGTTGCTTCAGTTCATCGCTAACGGAAAGTTATTGACATTTGGTTAGAATTGGATACTATATAGATTAATACGAGTATGTGTGTACATATTTGTGCATATTTGGCCGATTTCTTCTGTGCCTATTCACGTAATTATATGCGCATATTTCGTTAAAATAAACACATATATCTAAAAGGTTTTATAGAATCTATATGTTTGTGAGCACACAGATTGCGCTTTTTTCTTTCTAGTCTTATGGGTACTTTTTTCTTTTCTATAGATGATAAATTACTTGTGCAAGTGTAAGATATTACTTGATATATTTTTTAAATCAGGCAGAAGAAATGTAACCAGAAATAGAATGTATTTCACTAAGATGAATATTTACTTCAATTATTTCTCTCGAAAAGTATGGTAGATTATATTATGTTTACCACAAAATTTATATTAAGTGTGCCTTCTCCTGAAATTTTGTCAGCAAAGGTTTATACTAGCTTTTCAGCTTAGCTCATTGGCCAGCGTGCTCGCTTTCCCTTATGTAATCCCGAGTTCGGATCCCGGTCAGACAACATTGTGTGCATTTTCCTTGCAATGTCCTAATATATGTTGCTGTGTGATGATGAAACAATTCACTTCTCAGGTTGAGAAGACCGGAATACGGCGTGGGGATGTCTTCGTGCCAACCACACGTACCCCCTTAACTCATGGCCACGAGACCGGGACTTCGTTTGTAGGCTATGGCCCGTACACAGGCCGACGCGCCAAGCACAAAAAGGGTAATACGGTACATAAAAGAAATGAAATATTAATTTTAATTGCATTTTGGCATCTGATCGCTACAGGCATCAATGCGTTGAATGGCGCGATCCTTCTCTCTACCACTCAACACATGTGATGAGCGTTTGTATCACAAGTTTTTTCGTGGGATTCTTGGAGATGCCGAGTTCGTTTGATGCCGGCAGGATATTTTCGGAACATATTGTGAATGTTCTGTCGATTTCCACCTCTCCTCGTCATCTTTCATTTAAAACGAATTCACGTTTTCTTATTGTTGTTGTTTAGAAGACTCTTGAATTAATGTAAATGGATCCTTTATCCACTCAACCACGATTTGACTGCATTGTTTGGCATTTGTTAATACTTATCAGGATTCTAGAAACCAACAAATTTTCACCGTCACAAAATCACCGCCGCGGAAAGACACAACTCTCAAAATTGATATATTTATCCCCCTGAAGTTGTAATTAGCATAAGCAAAATGTTTACTAGGGAGACCAGGTTTAGAATGCAATTAATATTGAATTTATGAAGCGATGCAGAATATTGTATTTGGAACAAGAAAGTATCATGTTGACTGAAAATAGGAAAAAAATCATCCTTGATAATAATGTAAATATTTGGTACCAGGGAACCAAGAAAAACAAGGAAGGAAAGAAGGCATCAAAAGGAGAAGATGAAAGGGAGGAATAAAGTGAGAACGATAGGTAAGAGGAGGGAGGAGTACGGGAGAAGAAGGCACGAGATGAATGAAGAATGACGAAAAAGGAGAAGGGGGCAAAGTGGGGAAAGAAAATGATAAATTAGGAAGTAAAACGCGTAGGAAGGAGAGAGGAAGATGCTAAAATAATAAGGAAGCGAAATGAGAGGAGACGGGGGTGAAGAAGAAGGATAAAATATGAAGTAGGATGAGGAGAAGGAGAGAGGAAGATGCCAGACGAGAAAGTAGAAGTGAGGGTAGCGGCTTGGCCACCTGTTCCTTCTTAAGTGTGCCGTGCACGCAGTCGGGGCGGTGCTTCTCCGTCATCTCGATCTCGATGCGGCAGCGCTGCCGATGGCGCGGGGCCGTGGCCGGGGGCGGGGCAGAGGTGGTGCGCTGGCCGACGGCGGCGGCGAGCGGCAGCGGCGGCGGCGGCGGCGGCGGCACCGTCTCGTCCCCCATCACCACGACGAGCGCGGCCTCGCTCGACTCGCGCCGCACGCCCGCGCGCCCGACCGCGCGCCCGTGCGGAGCGTCCATGGCGACGCGCGCGCCGGCACGCGGGCGGGGGCCCCAGCGCAGGGCGCGCCCACTCACATCACGGGACCTGCCGCACGCACGGCGCACGCGTTCGCCACTGCCCTGGCTCACGGCCTTCCTGCGGGCCGCTGCTTGTTGAGCAGTTCCCGTGGGAGGGAGAAGACGCGTTTGGGCGCGATTGGTTCTAGTCTAGGGTTTGATTGATTATTAGTGGTTTCGCGCGCGTCAATTGCGCGGCGGTGGTGATGTAACGGTTAGCGTACCGGACTGTTGTACCCAAGTTGGCGGGTTCAAACCCGATCGAAGCCGTGGATTTTTAAGGGCGAAAAAATCCTTCGTACGCCTTCCTTCGGAGGGGAAGTAAAGCCGGCTGTCCCATGTTCGTAGATTTACTTTCATGTAAAAGATCCTCAAGCCTAAATGACGCCTCTGAGCTAAATTCAAATCGCCTGTTTCTCGCCCAAGAAAAACCTTCTTTCTCTGCTATATGATAGGAGCGTAGCGAAATTTGCGTGGTCAGACGGAACAGCGGGCCTGATGGCCCTAGTCTCGCCACGTAAAATAAGGCATATTCAATTCAATTGAATGCTTCGGTATTTTTTTCCATAAGTGTAGTCCGCGCCTTTTATCGGGAGACAGCGATCGTCCCCCTCTGGAAGGCGAGATCCGACGCCGACTTACCGTCGACTAGAGGGATTTTCCCCAACCAGGTATCTCCCACCATTGAGGAAATGCTCCGGCCAGGACACGCTGTATGCTTCCGATCGGTCTCCGGCATATGTGGTAGTCTAGTGTATGTTTACGTAAGTGTGAGGGTGAGGATACGGAGGACAAGGAAGAGGAAGGAAACATCCGTTGTCCGTTTGTTAGGATTCTGCTCCCGCATTCGCCTGGCGTTGATCGGAGACCACGTGAAACCTCCGATCAGAGCAGTCGGCCTCTAGAATTCTTCTCCAGATAGTGACAGGATTATATCTAGCTGACAAGAAAGTGTCGAAAATACTACTACCGTCGGAACTCGAACCCTAGGACCTCCCGTTCAGATGAATTCTCGGCTATCCGGGAGACGCCGCGTCGTTGGCTGGTGTGCCGACGTTTCGCCTGACATGTCTCAGGCTTCCTCAGGGCAGTGCGATCTGCTCCGTCACTGCTCCGTCACTGCCCTGAGGAAGCCTGCGACATGTCAGGCGAAACGTCGGCACCCCAGCCAACGACGCGGCGTCTCCCGGAGAGCCGAGAATTCATGGATTCGAGCCGCGGAAGCTTACGTATACCTCCCGTTCAGATTGCCCTCAGACCCCTCGGCATTTCAGTGACAACATTTGATGGCTTGAGACATGTCTCTAGTCTAGTGAAACGAGAATGGCACGCGGGAAACTGCAGCGTAGCACCACGGGCAGAATGATCTCAATTTTTGTTTTGAGCAGCCCTGTTCGAAGGAATGGTGGTTCCACATGTTTTGCATTCAGGAGTAACGAGAGGCTGCTCGCCCCTGTAGCCGAGATGCTCTGTGGATGTTCGGTTATTTTAACGTATTCAAAAGACCAACACAATGAGTAGAGTGAGTGTTGAAAGGTTGGTGCTCGGCAAACAGAAAGCAACCCATCTCCACCACTCGGGATTCGGCGAGTTGGCAACACGAAAGCGTGTAATACAAGCGTGTAAATAAACATGAAGTTGGTTGCTAATTTTGACGACTCACAAACCACAGTGAATCGCAGTCTAATATTATTAGTGACAAACTGAATTACATTTCTTCGCCAGGTATTCCTTACTCATAATCGTTCTGACTCATCTGTCCCACCCTGCCACTCCCTAAGCTACCAACTACATATTTAAAACTCTAAGGGGTTTCGAATAATGGAAGTCGTCTCTGTCAACTTAATAGATTGGTTTAGAGAGCAGGTTTTATACGGCTTTTCCGTCATCAGTCTCGCTGTCTAAAGCCAAAGTCGGGAGATTGTGCGTCCCGACTTTTGCTACATACATCCTTAATTTCACCTTAGTGCCACATACGCATACGAGATGTTGTCGGAGATGACTTTCTTTCTTTTATCATTTAATTCATCAACAATACCACAAAGGATTTTCGTTTAGAAAGAAATATAATGACTCAAACAAATGTCTTGATTATTTCATTAAATGAAACGGCCTAGATGTGGTATCATTTGGTCTTATTAACTTATTTTATAGTGAAAACCCTACATTTTAATAATGTAATAGAAAATAAAAGAATGAACGCTTATTTGCTGTCATTTGTTCATTACGACATTTTCACGACCAACTATAATGCAAATGTAGTTGGTTTTGATCGTTCTCTATAGCAAGTTACAATAATATCTTTGCATCATGAGGGTATAATTGGTGAGGCAAATAACGCGAGATTGTTAAGGTCGAAGATCGCCTAGTTTTGAATTCTAAGAGTAGTGTGTATGTATGCAATGTTCGGCATTCGTCTGACACGTGTGTCCCTTCACGAAAAGTTGTTAGTGATCGTCATTATATGCGATGCATTACGTTTTTAAGGTAAGGAGAATAGCAGAATATCCTGCTATATTCCACTACAACATACATGTACTGATTTCAGTAAATATTAAAACATTTCAATTTTATTTTCAGAAACATATTTAATTACGTGTTCACAATGAATACCAATTGCATTGTTATAAGATTTGTAAATATCCTTCATTTCATTACTTTTGGCAAATAAGTATTGAACATCATGAAACAACATTTTAGGGTTTTCTGTTTTGTGTGTATTGCATAATCAGTACTTCCCTGTTGTGGCGTTCCTACATATCATTTTGTGTGATGCAATCGCTGAGGATTAGCTGGTGTTTGTTACGATCATCGTTGCTACCACCATCATTGCTATGGGCAGCTGAAAGTAGTTGGATTGTTGCATACCCTAATCACACATCTAATAAGACGTTCAATTATTCTG